TTCCATACTTATTGAATAATCCGTAATCCTGGTGTTGAGATCCTTAATATCTTATTCTCCAAACACCTGCGTACAGAACTAGGTCTTTAGCTTTTTTTCTGAAGACCAGAAGGGATGGGGCCTGCCTGATGCCACTGAGGAGGGGGTTTCACAACCGAGGGGTCACCACCGAGAAGGCCCTGACTCTCTCATCCCCACCAGTCATACTTGCAAAGGGAATACCGGTTTACCAACATTTAACTAAAAAGTCCTTGCATTATTTGTTTTAAAGGATGCAGCTCCTGGGCATAAGCCTTCAACACCTGCAAAATAGCAAGTCAGGGGACATACTCCACCCTTCTTTTTGAAGGCAACCTGTATTTCAATCTAAATGAATAAAAATGTAATGTTTGCTTGTGGGATTAACATAACTTAAAAACTACTGGACAAATTATAACCAAATTTGGACACAAGACACCTATCAGGCCAATGAGTGACCATCACTCATAAAAACACTGAAAAGCACAGCAGAAGAGACTTAAAAAGCCAAAAAATAAAAAAAATATATGTTACAACGCATGTGCAAAACCACACATACATACACATACACACATATCTATATTTTATATCTATATAAATAAAAATGTAATGTTCGTTAGTGGGATTAATATAACTCAAAAATCACTGGGCAAATTGACACCAAATTTGGACACAATACACCTATCAGGCCAATAAGTGACCATCACTTATAAAAACACTGACAAACACAGCGGAAAAGACTTAAAAAGCCAAAAAAATTATATAAAAATACATTACAATACATGCACAAAACTACATATATATACACATATACACACATACATACACACAAAACACATCTACACAGACTGGGCCACAGCAACACGTGGCAGGGGACAGCTAGTGATTTATATAAATAGGGAGCTAGTACAAAGGTACTTAACCTATTGTATTTTTGTACATATATTTCATATATTTTGGGCTTGAGCTAGCTTAGACGCCTTGTGCAAAAGTGTGATTACAATGTTTTGAATAAAGAATACCAGTGTTCAAATCTCTAATCTATACACCTGGAACACATTGTGGAAGAGAGTGATAAAAGCATTTTGAATGAACGAATCTCTACATGAATACACATCTCTAATCTTTGCCCCAAACCTGGATGCTCCCACTCAGTTCCAATGTCCTTCAAGCCAGCCAAGAAAACAAAGGCACTTAAACTGCCTTGGGATGAAATGATGAAAATAAATGGGTGAAGATCTGAACAGTGGGAGGAAGGGGGGGGGGGGTATTCCTCTCTGTGTTTTTAAGTGGCAATGCTAAAGGATGCATGTTGTTCAGCAGACATTTTCCACTGGTGCTCAGCCCCCCTCTCCTCCCACTGATCAATGGAACCTTTCAAGAGGCCTTCTCTCCTGATTGGAGACATCATTTCCTGTCCAACACACTAAACCCATTGATAATTTTAGGTTGATGGGAACTTTTCAAACCTAACAGGAAAGTCCGGGAGACTTGCAAGAACACAGACAAGTGGGGGGCAGGGGTAGCAAGCTGGTCTTTAACAAAAAAGAAAGAGCTTGGGAGTACAAGTTCTACTGAAGAGAGCAATTCTTCCTCTTTCAAACTGTTGTCTGAAGTTCAGAAACATATCAGATGTAGAGGAACCATGGGGCTCAGATATTTCTTCTCCTAATCTGTCAACTTTGAATGTGAAACAAAAAGATATAAGAAAGAGCTTTCCCTCCCTAGCCTTGTTCAGATTCATATAAAACAGTGTTTCTCAACTTGGAGGTCAGGACCCCTGGGGGGTATTGTGAGGGGGTTTCAGAGAGGTCACCAATGACCATTAGAACACAGTATTTTCTGTTGGTGATAGGAGTTCTGTGTGGAAAGTTTGGTCCAATTCTATCGTTGGTGGGGTTCAGAATGCTCTTTGATTGTAGGTGAATTATAAATCCCAGTAACTACAACTCCCAAATGTCAAAGTCTATTTTCCCCAAACTTCACCAGTGTTCATATTTGGGCATATTGAGGATATGTGCCAATTTTGGTCCAGATCCATCATTGTTTGAATCCACAGTGCTCCTACATCTCTTGATGTAGATGAACTACAAACCCAAAACTCAAGACCAATGCCCACCAAACCCATTCAGTGTTTCCTGTTGGTCATGGGAGTTCTGTGTGCCAAGTTTGGTTCCATTTCATCATTGGTGGAGTTCAGAATGCTCTTTGACTGTAGGTGAATTATAAATCCAAACAACTACAACTTCTAAAAGACAAATTCAACCCCCCCCCGGCAACCCCACCAGGATTCAAATTTGGGCGTATTGAATATTTGTGCCAAATTTGGTCCAGTGAATGAAAATACATCTTGCATATCGGATATTTACATTTCAATTCATAACAGTAGCAAAATGACAGTTGTGAAGTAGCAATGAAAATAATTTTATGGTTGTGGTTCACCACAACATGAGGAACTGTATTAAGGGGTCGTAGCATTAGGAAGGTTGATAACTACTGATATAAAAGATTATAGAGGCTTTAGTGGGAGTGGGGAGATTCCTAAAACTAGCCAGGGGAAAAGCAATGTATTTCTATGAGAAGTGTCAATGAGAAATATTAAAAGTAGTTCTAGCCATTTGGCTCCCAGCCTCAGACACCTACTTTCAAATGGACATCTTAAATAGATGATGAAAGACAAGGCCTTGTGGTTTGAGGCTCAATATGATGAACCAAACTGACACGAGGCTTTGATGTTCTCATTCAACTGTAGAAACAAATGCAACTACCACAGGCTGGATTCTGAACAGATAGCAGCCCTTTGCCACGCGCCTATGATAGAGATCAAAGTTTCCTTCAAACTATAATCTAACCACACTGTATACTACCAGTATTCCATCACTTCGTTCTCATGAGTCACATCTTAGTTATTTCCTGTTTCCATAGGGAGAAATAGCTACAAAGTCCTGATGAGGATATAACGCCACAGATTTCACCAATGACAATCAGATCTTTTCACATAAAGGCAGTGGCGGTTATGAAAGGGAAGCCTGCATTTAATGAGAGGGGACTTCTGATATCAATTGTTCCACATCTTTCCCTTACTGAGGAAGCAAAATCTCCAACAATGCATAGAGCAGGATCCCTGTATAAATCGCTTCAAGACAGGAAACCACTTCTTTCACCACTACATTTAAAGGATGGTACTATACCTATCGTATGGACAGCAAAAACAGAAACACAGAATCATTACTCCAGCCATATTTGGGACATGAGAAGAAAAGGAATTGCGAATTAAGGTAGCAATTCCTCAATTATTTGGAGGTTTTCACAGTTTCGGGCCAGGAGAAGTAGGTTGCAAATGGAGTTGCAATAGATCTGCAGCTGAGCCCCAGATGAATGGCAGCAGTAATAGCAAAAATATCCATATCCTTGTTATTTCTCATTTAGGCTGCTGAAAGAATTACTTCTGTACTGATTTCTAGATTAATGTTGTTATTAAATAATAATAATAATAATAATAATAATAATAATAACAACAACAACAATAATAATAATAATAATAATACATCACACAGTTCTATACACTTGGGAAGTGTCCGACGAGGGATCCAATACAACAGCCAGCATAGTGACCTTGTTTGCTGTGTATTAATCTTGTGTTTCAAATAATTATCATCATCCATGTCTACACAGGTCAAATAAAATGGACACACCTCTTGCAACCTATGCAAGGACTCCATATATCATACTGCTGGTTTCACAGCAGGAGCTGTTCATCTGACACAAGGGAAATCACAATTTATTCTGGAGCTTCCGGGAAGCTCTGGAGTGACCCTGAGCTTTTTGAGATATGGACAGCTGGATCGAGCTGAATCCAGGTCAATCCAGCATCCAGCATCGCTGGCTTGAAGCAGTTCCCTGACAGAACTATGGCCAGTACAGCTCTAGTGGGAAGGTACTTTAGCCTTGTGAAATAGCAGTGGTGGCTATCCCAATGTACTGTTCATCTGGAAAGAGCTCTGTGCTGTATTTGAGGCAATTTCAGAGCACAGCACTCCAGATTATTCATATCTCGCTTTTGTGTATGTCCACTTACCTGTGCTGCTATTTTGCATCAAGTTCTATCTGATAGATCACAAGATTCTAGTAAAGTATCAGCTAGGTCCTGCAAACCCAGAAAGCTTGGGGTTTGCCATAATGGTTCAGTAAATACTACTAGCACAGAACTGCTGAATGGAGGTCACTGCCACTGGCTTGAAATTAACAAACTCAGACTACAATGAATGCTCTGTAGCTGGTTAAAAATATATATCTATTGGCTTTCAAGAAAACTACCACAGAATCTGTCAGGATAATGAGCGAGAAGCCCAATTCCAAGTGGTAAAATTCTTAGAAAAATCAAAAAACCACACTCTGAATTCCAACTTTTCCAGAGCTGGAAAAAATTACTTCTTTGGTCTACTAAAAATTTTGGATTTTGGAAAATGACTATGGATAACCATGACATCAACACTGGGCACTTTATACAGTTTGTATGGTTTTAATCTGTTTTATTCTTATGTGTTCATATGTCTATTTGTTGTATAATTTGATAGGATCTGTTTTATTGTTATGTCCAGCGGCACTGAATTTTGCCGGAGTTTGTAAGCCATCTTGAGTCCTCTGCAGAGTGAGAAAGGTGATGTAAAAATAAAGTAAATAATAAATAATACCACTTCCCAGTTTCTCCGGCTAGTGTGGCTAGTGCAAGCTTTGATTTTCTTCAAAGTATGCAAATAAACTGTGCCCAGTTTATTTGCCAGTGTCTCTCTGCAGAATAGCATACAGGGCAGACCTTTCTCAATAGCCATCTCTCAAGCTAATAAACATTCAAACTCTAAATTTTTTAAAATGTGATTTTTCTTATAACAGAAAATCTGCAACATTACTGAATGTAATGATTAGACAATTTAAGAAATCAGGTCTATCTGTATTGATGCAAAGCAAAATCAATCTTTTACCTGGAGGTCAAAGAACTTGCTGTATCTGCGGTAGATCGTCTGGCAAGTTGAATCGGACCATGTTACTTTTATGATATATACCTGCAGAGAGAGGGAGGGGAGGGGGAAGAAATGTTATTCATTTTGATATACCTCTCTGGAATTGTAAAATGAAAGATGAATTTTTAAAAAACTTAAAAAAATAAATTTATCCAGTTCTGTTTTAGCAACCTAAAGACAAGACTGAGGTCTCTTTGTATACAAGATAATTTCAAACACAAAAATTGTTGATAAGGTTGATTCATCAGTTTGCTGGTAGACTTAAATTGTCTTATTCTGAGTTCAAAGAAGCACAGATAGCTTCCATCCTTTCTTATTTATCCTCACAACAACCTCATGGGCTTGGTCAACTGAGAGAATCATAAATGAAAGATCAACAATTGAATTCCCTAGAACAGATAGCATTGGAACCAGGCTCTCTCAAGTCTCAGTCCAACACTCTAAGGCCCCTTCTACACTGCCCTATATCCCAGAATCTGATCCCAGAGTATCTGCTTTGAGTCTACACTGCAAGATCCTCTGGGATACATTGATAATCTGGGATCTGATCCTGGGATATTGGGCAGTGGAGATACAACCTAAGACCCCCTCAACACTGCAATATAATCCAAATTATCAAAACAGATAGTCCACATTATCTGCTTTGGACTGGATTATATATGTATCCACACTGCCATGTAATCCAGTTCAAAGCAGATAATCTGGATTTTATATGGCAACACAGATAGGGTCTCTCTACTACTAGTAAAGGCCCTATGGTGATGCAGCAGGCTAAACTGCTGAGCTGCTGAACTTGCTGACTGAAAAGTGGGCAGTTCAAATCCAGGGAGCAGGGTCATCTCCCGCTGTTAGGTCCAGGTTAACCTAGCAGTTCAAAAATATGCAAATGTAAGTAGATCAATAGGTACCACTTCTATGGGAAGGTAACAGCACTCCATGCAGTCATGCTGGCGGCCACATGAGCTTGGAGACATATACGGACAACAGCAGCTTTTCCGCTTAGAAATGGAGATGAGCACCACCCCCCAGAGTCAGACACAAAAAGCCTTAATGTCAGGGGAAATCTTTACCTACTACTAGTAAAGGATGCCTCTTCTGGAGTTTTTCTGTTAGAACATAAGGTATTTTGATTTAAATCTACAACTTGGTTTTATTCATCCAAAGACTTCAGTCAATTAATATAGCAAAACAACTCAAACTTGCAACTCCGATTGTATCACTTAATGTACTTTCAATTCACCAAAAAAAGATCAATGGCCAGTGTCACTAATAGCGGTCTTCTGTTATGTCCTTAGCACAACTTTCAATCTTTCCCAGATATAAAGCTTTGTCTCTCCGCTTCAAGTACTGCTCAGCACCAAAAAAAGTCACACCCATTTGTCAATATCAGCCTGTCTTTTTGAGATTATAGTAAGGTCTATTAATTCATTTACTTGTGTAATTATTTTATTTTTATCCCACCTTTCTCCTGATAAAGGGACTGAGTAATTGCTCACTCTGGCCCATGCACCAGCCAGTCTCTTTGTGCTGTGGTGCAAAGTAAGTACTTTCAGGCTTTTACAGATAACCATATAATATTCATATAGAGGACAGTGGGGAGGGAAAAGATCATAAGTCCACTTCTTTCTTTCCTTATCTTTTTGTTGCAGTCCAGTTTTAAGAAACATGGGGGAAATTCTTCCTAATATAATACATGACAACAATATTCCAGTCTCTGCATCAATCATGCCATTACTATTCTAGTAGCGGACAGAAAAGATGATGATTTGCCTCATGAATCATGACATCTTTGTCTCTCTTTTCTTATCCCAATAGAATTTCTGTAACTTCTCTGTTTCCCAATACAACATTATCCAGTATTCTTACTGCTATAGCTTTATAATTCAAACTATCAATGTTGTTAATATTATGTTATTCAACATAATCATTTTCTATTATTCAAGCTCTTCACTTCTGGAAACTTTTTAACTGTTTGAGAAAAAACTAGTTACTTGCCATTAATGTTCCCACTGCCGTATAATCAAGATTACTTGAGCTTAACAGCTCTTGATTCCCAACAAGATCATTCATATAATCTGCTTTGAACTGTATTATATGAGTATACACTGCCATATAATCCAGTTCACATCAGATAATCTGGATTTTATAGGCAGTGCAGAATGGGCCATAGTCTTCATACCCAGGCAAACACTAACACTAATATATCAAATCATTTCATATTATATATTTTTAATATTTTATATGTTTATATTTTTATACTTTCAGATATGTAACACATAGAAATATTTTTAAAATATTTTGTATTTTTTCTAATGAAAATTTTGTAAATAAAGATGCATATGGTTACGATTTCCCATTTTCTCTATGTATGGTGACTTTTGTGACACCCTGTATATTTAGGCCTTTCAAATACAATCTAATTAATTAGAAGCAACTTGGCTGCTAAGTGCTCAAATGATAACATATATAGAACTCAAATGTAAATCATTCAAGAATTGTTTTTAATTATGATTATCCCCATATCCCTACCCCAAAATAATGTAAGCAACTATGAGAACTTAAAATCTTCCATTAGTGTCCATGTTTTCCCTTACCTGAGAACATTTTTGATGTCATACTTAAAGGTGGGGCTATAATTCAGTGGCAGAGCACAACATTTAGTGATCCTCCCATCCAAGAAAGCATTGTCTGATAGATGCATTTTCCCACACAACAAAAAGAGCATTTCAGCTTGTTTTCGAAGGCTTTCATGGCCGGAATTACTGGGTTGCTGTCAGTTTTCCAGGCTGTATGGCCATATTCCAGAAGCATTCTTTCATGAGACGTCAGGAGATAATGCTTCTGGAACATGGCCATACAGCCCGGAAAAGCAACCCAGCATTTCAGCGCCTTATAGGAGCATCCCTTTAGCCAAATTACTACCTTGGCAAAGTTCTAGCAGTTCAAATTGAACATGAATAGATATCAACTTATTTCAAACAACAATTTTGCAGAAAAGTCTTTATAAGACCTTTTAAATCATTTTAGAATGTATTTATTTCTGCATATTAGGGATCAATAAAGGATGCAGAATTACGAACTGGGATGTCAGTTCCTACATAATTTTAATAGCAGTTATGCAAATCTTTGAGTGATGTCATAAATGTAATAAACGAATGTACTATCACACCATGCATTCTTTCTCTTTGCTATCCTGAAAATGCAGCAAGATGAATGAATTATCTAATACTAGGTCACCAAAGAGCTATTTGAAAGGCTACTCAGTGGGAGTTTATTACTCAAAGCATTGTTTTCTATGGAAAATGTCCAACTCTCCCTGACACAGATCCAGATGGTAATGTGACATCATGTCCTCATGTCAACTATTCTTTTAAAGAGGATACCTTGCCTTTTGCATTAGAAAGGAAGCACTGCATTAGGATATGTCATCAAATCTCTTCTTATGGGAACCTCAAATTGAGACTTCCTCCATCTGAAAACTATGAAATCTGCATCAGTTCACTGAAGGCAACATATCTCACTGGCCCATCTCTTCTGTCATTCACAGGCCCTACTTACGAATCTATTCCCTTCATGTGTAAATATTCCCTTAAGGCTGCTGTTCAAAAAGACCAGGTAATGAGACAAACAGAGGATGCCTACTCCAGGACATAAGAATCACACTCAGAACTAATTTCTTTTTCCATTCAACAGAGATGCTACAATTTCTTCAAAGGACAAATGTCTGGGGTGTTGTGTTGTTGTACTTTCCTCTTGCTCTCTATCAGGGAAAAACAAACACTTGTAGTGACTGCCTTCCATCTGGAAATCTATGAAAGACTGTGTAGAACAAGAATAGGCCTTCACCACAAAGACTCTGGAAGACAATTATACTTGGCCATGAGTGATCAGGGAGACAACAGACATGTAAGGAGGGTAACAGTGAAAATGAAAATTCAGGTTTGGAAGGTGAGGGAGGACAAGTATCTTTCTGTTGTCCATCAGAGCTTTATAGTACCATGTTCTCCTCCATAATCTGTTAAGGATCAATTGCAGGAGCCCTATCCTTCATCCAGCGTGACAACCCTACTGGGACATTTTGGGGATAGGCTCAACACATGATGGAAGGTAAGTCAAGCTTTCAGAGAAAGATCTTCTAGTAAAAGTTCTAGCTGAGGTGTGGATGAGTTCTTCCACCTCACCACCATTTTTCCTCAGTCTACTTTAGTTGCTGAGAGGCTGTAAAAGGTAAAGGTATCCAGCTTGCTCTGCACCAACCAGAATGAAAGGTCTCTAAGATATCGGAAAGCTATTACCAATCAGAATAGAGGCAGTGCTAAGAAAGATGGACAAGTTTCCTGGCTTGGAATAAGGCAGTATTCTTAGTCTTCAATCAATACATCTATCCAGAGTTGTCATGTCAGCTTTAGACTACATTTGAACTGAAGTTCAATTTTCCAATGCACATGGTAAAAACATGAATCATAGAAAGAAGTGTGTGTCAGGTCTGGAGCTGTACCTAATAGAAGCAATTATTTCACAAATATGCAATTATTTAGAGCAGTTGGTTTCAAATGGTGAGCCTGGTACCCTCAGAAATTAGATATAGTTGAGACGATTGGGAATATATCTTACTGGTATTTTTGAAAATTAAATTAATACATCTAGAATCATAGAGTTGGAAGATCCAGTCCAACCCCCTGCCAAGAAGCAGGAAAATCACATTCAAAGAACCCCCGACAGATGGCTATCCAGCCTCTGTTTAAAAGTCTCCAAAGAAGGAGTCCACCACACTCCGGGACAGAGAGTTCCACTGCTGAACAGCTCTCACAGTCAGGAAGTTCTTCCTAATGTTCAGATGGAATCTCTTTTCTTGTAGTTTGAAACCTTGTTCCGCATCCTAGTCTCCGGGGCAGCAGAAAACAAGCCTGCACCCTCATCCCTATGACTTCCCCTTACATATTTATACATGGCCCTCATCACGTCTCCTTTCAGTCTTCTCTTCTGCAGGCTAAACATACCCAGCCCTTTAAGATGCTCCTCATAGGGCTTGTTCTCCAGAC